GTTTTCACCCTCCCAGAGGCTCAAAGAAAGCTTCCGGAGCTTGGGGAGGGTGAAAACACCCCCGCCCCCCCATGGTGCAAGAGGCTGATTAACCATGCCCACAATGGCCACCCAGCAACTGGGCAGAGAACCAGTTGCTGAAATTTTTGAAGCCCACACCTGCCTATTAATGATATTCATGATAAACTTAATAAGGCTCCATTTGAAAAAAGAAGAATGATTATTTGGTAATAATATAAAACCATGTTCCCCAAAGCAAAGAGCATTGCATATTACAGCTATTGAATATACAGTATATGTAGAATCCATTGTTTCTGGGCTTTTGCTATTACAAAAACCAGAGGAGAATGTTCAGAGGAGAATGAGTTTGGGATACTACCTACTCCTGCATGATGTCATGTGCTGCTGCAATTTAAGTATCCCCAAGCATTGAATCATAAATCCTTCTACATTTGGCAAAATGGGAGCATCTTGGGATATAGTAACAGCAATATACTGTGAAACACCCATTACACAGTTACACAGTGCACAAGTTATGTGTAAGGGAAACTCGCTTGTCAAACTAAGGAAATGTGCTCTTTATGATTTTCCATTTTATTTCATTTCTTAACAAGATAAAATTAATATATTGTGCCTGACTTTGGATTGTATACAGAGCTGCCAGGGACTTCGTTACAAGCTTTGTCAACATTAATGTCACTTCGGAGACACACGAAGTCTCAGCTCTCTGGTTCCTGTGGTATGTGAAACTATGTGGGGGAACCACCAGGATTTTTACTATAACCAACGGAGGGCAGGTAAAGCAAGTGATTCATTTGTCCTTCCTTTTGAGAGTTCAAAAATAAATGAATGTGATCCTGCACGTGTGTAATAGGGAGAGTTTTAAAGCATAACAAAGAATGCTTTCCCAAAAGTTAAAGTAGTTTTCCAATTGTGGAAATGGGTGCCCATTGTGGAAGGTGAAAAAAGTCAGTGGTGACTGCTATCTTGAGTTTCATTGGCTTCCTCCTGAAGACATCTCAGTTTTTAAAATTAAGTTTTTTAGTATTTTACAAATTATTTTCCAGTATTAGGTCACTGCCAGTTCCAAAAATCCTTATGGATCCTCTTTTCTGATATGTTATGTTTAGCAATTTAAAAGTATTCTTAGCCAGTTCCCATACCATTCACTGTTTCTTCGCTCCTGCACAGTCTTAGGTAGCTATCTCAATCTGGAATAATTAATTATTTTTTTATTTATTGGCAGCATTCTTAGATTTCTACTGAAATTAGATTAATATTATAAATCTTATTCCATTCACCCTTAGTCTATTCAGTACAATATGGCTGTGGCAGTATAGTAATTATATTGTTTAGTTTCCATGGTTACAACCAGTGTCCATACATTCAAAAATCCCATATAAAATAATTTTTGTTAGCAATTTTAATTATAGCAGTAAAAACTAATGCAAACTAAATGTGGTGGTAGAAAATAGAATGGAAAGAAAGAATAGAAAATGCGCGTGGGGTGGGGGGGGAGGAGAGAAATAATATATACGAAGTGACCTCCAATCTTCATCACAAGTATAAAGAAAGTTAGTAGCTCTTCACGCTTATAGGTTTAAACAGATATCTTTTCATCCCATATCCCATTCTATATTTATTTATTTGACAACCATACTTCTCTCTACTCTACCAAAGGACTCTAAATGGTATCAAAAATATCAAAAACAATCATATCCAAATAAAAGCAAAGATAAAATACAAGATAAGTGCCAACAGCCAGCTGGGATTTCTTTATTGTAATTCCTCTGGTATAGGCTAGAGAATTATATTTTGCAGTCCAGTCCCTTAAAATATTTTGGCATATTGATTTGAAAATCTTATTTAATGGATATCCTACACTCAGCTACATTGTACCAGATATATGCCTCAACACTGTCTTCTTATTTTGCTGTAATCTGTTGTTCGTAGGAGAGAAAATTTATTGGAGGTTCTGGACAAATTACAGAAAAGATAATGGAACTACTCAGAGATAAAGTTAAACTCAAGAGTCCTGTAGTCTATATTGATCAGTCAGGTGATGACATCATTGTGGAAACACTGAACCACGAGATATATAAGGTAATTGAATAGCATAAATGCATCATATGCAGTTAAACAAGAACATTCTTGATGCAGCTTTTAGCCCAATGTAATTGGCCCCATTATTGTATGTTGCTCTGCATTTCACATTATTCAAGATACTTTTAAAGTTGCTTTTATTGATATATTTGTGTGTGTGTGTGTGTGTGTGTGAGAGAGAGAGAGAGAGAGAGAGAGAGGTATTTTGTGATATTGTAATTGGCTTCTGACATTTTACCATCTTCCACGAGTCTTGTTTTTTTTGTCTTGATTACATCACTGGACTATCAGTACAGTATTGTAGCTTTCATTCTATACCAGTATAAATATTGCATTAATGAAAGCTTTAATAAATATATCCAGAAAGCTGTAATATGGGGGATTCTTGGTACTCTCTGAGCTTGGTTGTTCCCTTTTTGGCTAGTTGATTGTCACTTTTGCATCATCTATAGATATTGTTTATGTCTATGTATCTATTGATGGCTAATTTGTCAGAGAGTTTCTAGAAGCCTGGCACTCTGACAAATTAGCCATTTTATGCAAAAAAAAAAAAAACCTATGCAGAAAAGGCAATCAACTAGCCAAGAAGGGAACAAAAAGTCCCAAGAACCTCTCTACCATCAATTAGCACCCAGGTGAGCATAGGTTAACTCCAAGATTAACATCAGACCAACAATCAAATAAATAATACCCCAATCAAGAAACAGCCCAACCAAAGAAAATCTCTAAGACCACTCCCACCAACACTGACAGGGCAAGCCACTAGGTTATAAACTGAGAGCAAACCCCACTTCTTACTAGCACCGATGATGTTGCCTAGTTTGGGTAATGAAACATCTGCAAGAAAAAACAAGCTCAGAGAGCACCAAGAACATTTCATTTCAACCCTGAGCTACAAATATGCTATATAGACATCAACATATCTAATTTGAATGAAGTACTTATGTCATAATAGTTAACATACAGCAAGAAATGCTAGTCTTTGACTTCTGGTAATCTTTTGTAAAATATATCCTGAGAGAGACATATGAGTTGTGGAGATTCTGAGGATATTATGTGTTGGCTGGCGATTATTGTTAGTGGAAGGAGCCAATATGATAGTGCTAGTAATGTGGTTGAGGATCAATACTAGGGTATTCATTGAGTTACAATCCCTACTCACAGTCATTCATGGTGTAGTCACCTGGACTATTGAAACATGCTTTACATGGGGCTGCTCTCGAAAAGTATCCAGAAGCTTTAATTGGTTCAAAATGCAGCAATCTGCGTGGTTTTGCACATATGTCATCTCTCCTGCAGGAGTTGCATTGCCTACCAATTTGCTTCTGGGTCCAATTCAAGATTCTGCTTGTCACCTTTAAAGCCCTACATGGTTTAGAACCAGGTTATTTGAAGGATTGTCTTTTCCCAGTCACATCTATCCCTTTACAGAGGGGAAGCAGAAAATTCTCTGGGTCCCCTATACTAAGGAAGTACAGCTAGGGGACCAAGAAGAAAGGCCTTCTCTGTGATGGCTCTGTCCCTATGGAACAAGAGCAACAAAGATGATTAGGGGACTGGAGGCTAAAACATGAAGAATAGCTACAGGAACTGGGCATGGCTAGTCTGGTGAAGAGAAGGACCAGGGGAGACATGATAGCAGTGTTCCAATACTTGAGGGGCTGCCACAGAGAGGAGTGGGTCAAGCTATTTTCCAAAGCACCAGACAAGGAATAATGGATGGAAACTGATCAAGGAGAAATTCAACCTAGAAATAAGGAGACATTTTCTGACAGTGGGAACAATCAACCAATGGAACAGCTTGTCTTTGGAATTTGTGGGAGCTTCATCACTGGAAGCTTTCAAAAAGAGACTGGACTGCCATCTGTCAGAAAACTGTTAAATTCAAATGCTATGTGAGCCTTTTACAATTTTGTTAACTCAAAACTTAAAGACTCGCAAGTGATTCCATCCTTAAAAGGGCAAAATGGGGTTGATTGTAATGACAATGTTGGTCAGGCCAATCCTTTCAATACATTTTTTTAGTTCAGTTTTTGTGGATAGCAATGATTGCAGTCCCTCATTCGCAAGTCAAACCACAATAGTTGTAGCAAATTGTTGAATATTAAATTTACAGTAGATAATGTTGAATTAGCATTATGTAATCTTTAAACCATTGCTATCCACAGGACCAGATGGATTGTGTGCTTTTTTCCTGAAAAAGCTTGCTATCATCATAACTGAACCTTTGTGTACAATTTTTGAAGTATCGTTTAGAACTAGTTTCCTGCCTGATCTTTGGTCATTAGCTATAGTTATACCAATTTTTAAAAAGGGTGACCTTAGTTCAGTCAAAAATTATAGACCAATTTCTTTGTGTTGTATTACATGCAAAGTTATGGAATCTATTATAAACCAATCCATTGTTCACTATTTAGAGAAAAATAATTTGCTATCCAACAAACAGTTTGGCTTTAGGAAAAACTCATCTTGTAATTTGCAACTTTTCCACTGTAAAACATCTGGACTACGTGTCTTGATCAAGGTAAAGCAGTAGATGCAATTTACATAGATTTTTGTAAGGCTTTTGGTACAGTAGTACATGATAAACTGTTGTTGAAATTAAACTCTTACGGCATTTCTGGACCTTCTGGACTGCTGCTTTCCTGTCTAATAGATTACAGAAAGTCAAAATAGGGAACTCGCTGTCCAATCCTGCATCAGTTAACAGCGGTGTTCCGCAAGGTAGCATTTTAGGTCCCACACTTTTTGCTCTATATCAATGATTTATGTGATCAACTTAAAAGCAATTGCGTCCTTTTTGTCAATGACGTAAAATTATTCAATACTACAGATAATTTTGTTGTTTTGCAAAGTGATCTCAACTATGTGTCTGAATGGTCATCTATTTGGCAACTTCAAATTTTGATTAATAAATGCTCTGTCTTACATATTGGTAAATGTAATCAGAATATCAAGTATAAGCTAGGTGGCATTGATCTAGCAGATGACCGTCACTTTGTTAAGGATCTAGGTCTACTTATCTCTGACAATTTATGCTCCAAAGCTCACTGTAACAGTATTGCTAAAAAAGCATTTAAGAGTTGTAAACTTAATTTTGCACAGCTATTTTTCTGGAAACATTGTATTGCTAATTAGGGCTTATAAAACTTATGCTAGACCAATTTTAGAATATTGTTCAATTGTTTGGAATCCCCACCCTATATCTGACATCAGTACAATCGAGCTGGTTGAGAAGTACTTCACAAGAAAAGTCTTGGATTCTTCTGTACACAATAAAATTCTTTATGCTACTAGGCTCGAAATTCTTGGTTTTTGATAACTTAGAATGGGTCGCTTGTGGTCAGACCTAGGTATTGCATACAAAATTATACATAGTAATGTTTTATCTGTAAATGACTTTTTCTGTTTTAATCGCAATATTACACGTGCAAACAACTGCTTGAAATTCAGTGTAAATTGCTTTAAACTTGCCTGTAAAAAAATTGATTTCTGTAATAGACATGTCAAAGTCTGGAATGCCTTACTTGATTCAGTTGTCTCAGCTACATATTTTCACAGTTCCAGTCACAAATGGGCTTCCGTGGACTGTTTTTCATACTTAATTGGTCATAGAGGGGGCATGCATAAGTGCACTAATGTGCCTGTCATTGTATTTTTATTCTCTTATTTTTGTTCTCGTTTTTGTTTGACAAATTCAAATAAATAAATAAATAAATGGTGTAAGGTCTCCTGCTTGGGGGGTTGGACTAGATGACCTACAAGGTTCCTTCCAACTCTGTTATTCTGTTATATCCCTGTGGAGATAAGATTGCTCCTCATATTAACAAGTGAGATCTGGTTTTGCTAATAAGCCTGGGGAACCGAAAATGGGATGGAATCCATCAAATGGCTTATTTGATTAACTGTTGTTACTAGGGAGGTAGGGGGTTGTTGCTGCTGTTGTTTTTTATATTGGGTTTTTATCTTTATAAGCCTCCTGAAGCCACTGAAAGTGAGTTGCAGCTTTATAAATTTACTTCATGGGATAAATAAATTTGGCTGGGACTTGAAGCTTTGTTTTAGGAAAGCTAGACTGAGAAAGGCAAGGGTATATGAGATCATTGCCTGATACAGGATTTTTTTATTTTAACAGGAAAGTGGTTAGGGTTATCTTTTTTTAAAATCCAGAATGAGTGTGGGCTGTGGAGGGAGAGGAGGAGGAGAAAGAGAAGGAGGAGCTCATTTACTTTGAATTTATTTTAATTTTGATGTTTTTAAGTCTTTTACAAATGCCATAGACTTTAAAAGGGCTCAAAATAAATGGAAATATAGAAATGATTTTCAACATTTGTCAAAGGTTTGCCTATGTTGTATTTAACAGGGCAAGTATGTAATTAGTGCCATTCCACCAATATTGACTGGAAAGATTCATTTCACTCCGGAACTGCCAACAATAAGAAACCAATTAATCCAGCGCCTCCCAATGGGTTCTGTCATTAAATGCATGATGTACTACAAAGAAGCCTTCTGGAGGAAATTGGGTCTGTATGGAATCTGTTTTATGATAGTTAAGAATGTTCTAATACCTTCTGATCAAACTCCACATAATATGAATAAAAAAGGGATTTTGTTGCAAAAAAGGTAGAAGGGATTAATCAGCAAACATCTGACAAGCTGTAATGCCTAATAAACTGAGATTATTTTACATAGGGTTGACCTGGTTTATCAATGAGTTACAAATATACACTTTCCCTACATAAGATGTAGTGAATTTCAGAGTAAGATTTAGTTATATTTCATCAGATTAATGTCCCTCGTTTGCTTTCACAAATCCCTTGGAAGGTTATTTGGTAGTATGGCTTTAAATGTTTATTTGCTAAGAAGGAAAGTAAAACTTTGCAAAGGACCATTGAAAATGCTTGCCAGGAAATTACATTCTGGATTGAATTTTTGAGTTGGTCATCCTCCTTTTATTTTTCTGTGAAGGTTTCTGTGGCTGCACAATTATTCTGGATGATGATGCTCCCATTTCAGTAACATTAGATGATACTAAACCAGATGGATCCATACCTGCTCTTATGGGGTAATCCAGCATTTATGTGTTTGGCTACCAAATATGAATAAAGTTGTATCAAATATTTGCTTATATGTGTGAGTCCTAAAAAACTTGAAAGAATCTTGATTTAAAAAAAAAAAGAAACCAGACATGTCGTATCACCTTGATGGTGAATCTATGGCACGTGTACCAGAAGTGGCACACAGAACTACTTCTGCCAGCACGCGAGAGGTTGCCCGGAAGAGCCCCACTGCGCATGCACAGCCTGCCTGACAGCTGATTGTTGGGTATTTGGTGAACATGCATGGGGGCGGGGGGCACGGGAGACTCACATGCATGCACAGAGATGTGCGGCGCAGGGGGGGTCTAGCACACATGCACAGGGGCATGGGGGGACACACGCATTGCCTTCTGGGTGCTACATATTTTTGGCAAAGGAGCTCAAAAAGGTTAGCCACCACTGTCATATCAGTTCCCACATGCATGTTCTCAGTTCTGCCTTTTTTCTTCAGTAATATTAGCTTTTACCACTTCTTGCTGGACTTACTGAACTCTACATAAAACATGTAACAGCTATTTTGCTGCCCCCAAGAAAGTTTTCTAGTTCCATTCCTAACATGCTGCAAAATGATCTTGTGTCATTATTGTGGTATCTAATAGTTTTTCCCTATGGGAAAATTAATAATTTGCTTTCCTTCTATCCTTAATTAGGAATTTTAAAGATGTGGTTAATCTCAGTGGTGGGATTCAAATTTAACAACCAGTTCTCTGCCCTAATGACCAGCTGGGTAGGCATAGCTAGGTGGTCATGTGACTGGCTGGTTTAAATTTCCTTGTTCCAAACTGTAATTAAGCCACTGTACATTGGATTTTGAGGCCATGATAGGGTATATTTAACTGAAATAGATATTGTAGCTTCCAAATATCTGTCTTTGTATCAATGAAGTGAAGAAAAATACATATCAATGAAGTGAAGAAAAATACATATGCTAATGTTACAGTCCTTTCAGAATGAACACTGTCATTTTAAACTCCATGCCAAATAGTATCCCCTTACAGCTCTCTGCTGAGATCATGGTCCCTCAAGAAGGTTGTCTTCTGAAGTCTCTTTATAAATCAAACACACCATTGTCTCCAGATACTGAGCTGCTTCTTGTATGTACTGTAGATTCCCTGTAGATTCTCCCACTTTCTTTCCTTTTTCTTTCATATGCATCCCATACCCACACATGCACAAAGAGATGACCCTGCTTTGCAGCACAAGGTCAGTACTCCATGAAAACTGCTATGCAGAACAGGCCTCCAATAGACCAGATATCAACAAGGAAACTGCTAATATATAGTAACAATGAACCTTGGTTCACAGCTAAACTTAAGCAGCTACATTGTTCGAAAGAGGAAGCCTACAGAAAAGGTGACAGAATGCTATACAACCAGGACAGAAACGTATTAACAAGAGATCAGAGCAGCAAAAAGGAGCTTCCTGAAAAGTTAAGGAATCAGTTTTCAACAAATGAACTAGTAAACATTTGGAAAACTCTTAAAAACATCACTGGCTACAGCAAACCTCCTTCCCAGGCAGAAGGAAATCAACAACTAGCAGATGACCTGAATGTATTTTACTACATGTTTGAAAGGAAACTACAGCCACCTATCTCCACAACCCCCATCTCAAACACACCAACAACAGCCAAGCCTCCTACAACTGACTCCAACCCATTGGATTCACAACCTGTGGTAATCACAGAAAAAAAAGTGCAAGATCTATTTCACAGATAAAAGCCAGGAAAAGCACCAGGGCCAGACAAAATAACTCCTTCTTGCTTAAAAGTCTGTGCTGACCAATTGGCCCCCATCTTCATCTGAATCTTTAATAAATCACTAAAGATGTGCTATGTTCCTTCTTGCTTCAAACGGTCTACTTTCATCCCAGTGCCAAAGAAGCCCTCAACGAGGGAACTGAACGACTACAGACCAGTTGCTCGAACCTCTGTAGTTATGAAAACCTTTGAAAGGCTAGAGCTGTCCCACCTGAAAAACCATCATGGATCTGCTGTTAGATCCCATGCATAGTTTGCATACCGAGCAAATAGATTGACAGATGATGCTGTTAATATGGCTCTGCACTACATCCTACAACACCTTGAATCTCCAAATACCTATGCAAAGGTCCTCTTTATAGACTTCAGTTCAACATTCAATACCATCATTCCGGACATTCTCTAACTAAACTAAACCAACTAGTGGTACCTGAACACACTTGTAAGTGGATCATAAGCTTCCTAACAGACAGGAAGCAGCAGGTGAAGCTAGGCAGAATCACATCTGATACCTGTACAGTAAGCACAGCCCTCCCCCAAGGCTGTGTACTTTCTCCACTTCTCTTCTCCCTATATACCAATGACTGCATCTCAAACGATCTATCTGTTAAAATACTGAAGTTTGCAGATGATACAACAGTGATTGATCTCATTCAAGACAATGATGAATCCGCATACAGACAGGGGGTTGTACAACTTACCTCGTGGTGTAACCGGAACAATCTGAAACTGAACACACTCAAAACCATAGAAATGGTGGTAGACTTTAGAAGAAACCCTCCCATACTACCACCTCTTACAATACTAGACAACACAGTATCAACAGTAGAGACCTTCAAATGTCTATGTTCTATCATATCACAAGACCTAAAATAGACACCTAACATCAAAAACATCATCAAAAAAGCACAACAAAGGGCTTCCAGTTTGCCAGGCTTCGGTGACAGCAGGGATTCGCTTTCTCTGCGATCCCTGCTGTGCTAGCCATCTTGGTGCCTCCGATCCTGACGGATCTGGAGGATAGGGCTGCCCTGTTGGGGTAGCTGAAGATAGGGGGGATCCGGACAGGGGTTGAGGGGTATCGCAGACCCCCTCCCCAGCCGGCAATAACCCCCTTTTCTCAAGGCGGTGGAGCGGCAGTCTTAATGGCCGCCATGAAGAAGCTGGCAACTGGATTAAGAATGTGCAGGAGGAAGAAGAAGGAAGTTTTAAAATGAAAGTTTTTCTTGGCTGAACCAGGACTTTAAGGACATATCTAATACCTGGAAAATTACTATTCTTTTTGGATGCTACAGTGTTTCTATTGGAGGTTTTCAGCGGCAAAGGAAAGTGTTGAAAGATAAAGTTACTCTCCCTCCCTTATGGAACTAACAAATGGACATGGAAAATCTGCTCTCTAACAGAAGGTAAAAATTTAAAGCCCTTTGTTACAAGTGGGAAGGGAGAGGCTTGGAAAAAAAAAATTATTCCAAGACTTTGTTGGAGGAGATGCTTTGAAGATAAAGAGATTAGAAGCTAACTGCAAAAAAGATTTAAAATACAGATTGGGTTTTTTTTCCCTAATTGACTTTACCCCAGGAAGAGAAACTGCAAAAGGAAGAAGTTTGTGCTTTGCCTGGACTGTTTGATGACTTTGGGACTTTGGGATTTTGGGGAATTGTTTTAAGTTTGGAAATATTTGATTGGCTTAATAACAAGAAGAGGATACAGAAAAAGAAGAAGAAAAAGTTTATAATGGCTCTACCTCTCGATGAACTAAAAAAACAATATCTAAAAATAAGGAAAGAAGGCAAGGACGCTATGGGAGAAGCCCTTTGTTTTCTAGATATGGCGCTTGCTATGTGTCAGCAAATTAAACAACAGCTGGAAGAAGCGGAGGAAGAAGAAGCCATTTTTAATGAATTAAATAGTGTGATTAAGAAAGAAAGGAGAAAGAGAGGAGGGAAAAGGAAGGGCTTAAGACATAAAAAAATATCTATGAAAGAAAAATAAGATGCAAAAACAATATAATGCCAGAAAGCAAAAGGAAAGAAGAATGCAACAGAAAGGGGAAGCCAAGAAGGCAGAGGTTTGGAGAGGAGTGGGTAAAAAGTCTAGGTGGGCCAAGAAAGAAAGGGAAAGAGGGGGGGGGAAGGTTATAAAGGTATAAAACAAGATGGGAAAAAGAAAATCTTTTTTAGGGACAAAGGGTAATGTATGCTTCTTTTTTAAAAAAAACGGGGGGTGGTGGATTCTGCATAGTACACATGATAGTATTGTAGCAGTTGTATTTGTATTAAAAATAGAAAATTAGAATTTTATAAGATTTAATAAAAGATTAAAATATTAAGGTACAATGTTAAAATGTTTAATAATGAATGATTTTAAGTTTTAATAAAATATTAAAGGAAATGTTTAAAATATTAGTTTAATTATAGAGTTTAATGGGCTAATGTGTTGATTATTATAGATTTATTATTGTAGTATTTGTTTTTGAAATAGTAGAATGTACTAAGCAGAATCAGATTGGGACTTAGGTGTTATTTCAAATTTCAATTTAGGGGTATGATAGAAAGGCATCATACTCTGCTTAGTGATTTCAGGAGAAATTATTTTTTTTCTATATTGGGAATGAGATAGATGTAAATGGAAAAATGGACAAAAGATATAAAAATATTGTCTTAAAGTATGATGAAATATATAAGTGGGGAGGAGTTATATAGAAGATATAGAATGGTAAACAAGATAGGTAATGGTATATAAGAAGACTTCAATTGAAGTCCATACAAAAAGAGGTAATCTGGGGCCAATTTACTTTCTAAAAGGAAGTTTTTTGTGCTTTATGTGTGTGTGTTTAATTGAGAATTAATAAAATCTCGGAGGAAGGCCAGATGAGAACAACTGTAAACAAGCCAGAGGAAAATATAAATGTGATGACTGAATAGCAGATAAACTAGAAAAGAAATGTGATTGAATAAGAGTAAAGAGAAATAATGTGAAATTTGTTAAGGGAATCTACGTGTCTATATGGAAATGGGATAAATTAGAAGAATGTGATATATAATAATGTGTTACCTGCCTTGTAAATATTTATAATGGAAAGAGGTTTTATGTTTTTAATGTTTAATGATGTTTGTTTTGTTTGTTTGTTGTTAAAATCAATAAAATTTGCTTTAAAAAAAAGCACAACAAAGAATGTTCTTTCTGCACCAACTCAGAAAGCTCAAACTGCCCAAGGAGCAGTTCTACAGAGGAATTATTGAGTCTGTAATCTGCACCTCTATAACTGTCTGGTTTGGTTCTGCAACTCAACAGGACAGACACAGACTTCAGAGGATAATTAGGACTGCAGAAAAAACAATTACTACCAACTTGTCTTCCAGTGAGGACCTGTATACTGCACGAGTCATAAAGAGGGCTGTGAAAATATTTACAGACGCCTCACATCCCAGACATTGACTGTTTCAACTCCTATCCTCAAAATGATGCTATAGAGCACTACACACCAGAACAACTAGACACAAGAACAGTTTTTCCCCAAACACTATCACTCTGCTAAACAAATAATTCCCTCAACACTGTCCAACTATTTACAAAGTTTGCACTACCATTACTATTAATCTTCTCATCACTCCTTATCACCCATTCCCTCCCACTTGTGACTGTCTGATTGTAACTTTGTCGCTTATATCCTTATGATTTATATTGACTGTTTCCTAGTATGATTTGATTGCTTATTGTACCCTATGACTATTATTAAGTGTTGCACCTTATGATACTTGACTCTTGACGAATGTATCTTTTCTTTTATGTACACTGAGAGCATTTGCACCAAGACAAATTCCTTGTGTGTCCAATCACACTTGGCCAATAAAGAATTCTATTCTATTCAAGAAGAAAGTCAGCTGAGTCTGGCCAAGCATCAAGTCTTTTCCTCCATTGCTGGCTAAATTGCCATTCCTTTGCTGATTGTGACTGCATGACTCAGAGGTGATTGTGGTGGGAGTGGGGAGTGATTTGCAGAGTCTTGCTGACTTGCCTCCAGTGATTCCGCACAGTCAAGCTGCTGGAGGTTCTCCACTGGTCTTGATCCCAGAATGGGAACAAGAGGTAGAAGTTCAATTAAGAAGCATTGCACCAGACTGCTCCATTGTGAGGCAAGAGGTTCTACCTGTAGATGGTGGTAAAGGCATGGGATGTGCACAGCCCACTATCTTTCTGCAGCTGCTTGGCATAAGTGGGATGGTGCAACTGAAGGATGCCTTCTACTGTGGATTGAATTGATTCTTCTCTTCTTACCTATTTTGACCTGATGTGTTCAAACACAAATAAATCATTTTACCTAGTATCCTGGAAAAATGGAGAGTCTCACTATGCAGTTTGAGAACTCCAGCTATAATGGTTAGCATGTAACTTTCTGCTATAATAAGTAGTTGAATAAGTGCCAGGCAAAAACTAGACTGGTGATATTTTCAAGATACAGTATTTTTTTCTTCAAGCAGTAATATTGTTCATGTGTGTTGCATGGGGATATACATTCATTTATGTATCACTAATGGAAAATTCTTTTTATATTTAGATTTATTCTTGCAAGAAAAGCCTTTAGACTAGCAAACATTGGCAAAGAAGAGAGGTAAGAACCACAGATTTTGGAAGTTTTTTGTCAGAGCGTTTGCAGTGTGACTACTATTATGAGACAACCCAGGAGCAAAACACAGCACACTGTTAGACTTTTAACAGTGGTTTATATACAAGACATATACAGAAATATAGATGGTAGGCAAATACCTTACAAGCAATCAATCTTCTTAACTCTACACGGAGAATTCTGCAATGAAGGCAGGACACAAGGAGAGAGAATATGCCCTCTATAATGTCAGCCTTATATAAGCACCTCTTAAGAGGGTAAAGACTTCTGTGAACCCATTCTTCGTCTTAAAAGGGCAATACTCATGCTATGCTGATTCATCCTTATTGCATCAGCCTTATATTGCATCAATCCTACATTGCATCAGACTTACAGCAGCTGGCAGTTATTAAATCTTATACCTCAACATTTTTCTAATTTAAATATTTGTTTTTCATTCTCTGAGAGTAATTAATTTTGTGTTAATCTACCATTAAAGTATTGTTTTCTACGTTTGTTGCAAGAGAATAACTTTTCATAATAAACTATTAATCCAGGTTTCCAAAACCCAAAACCTAATTCCTAAGGATCAAAATAGATCAAGAGAGGTAAAATGGTGGGAAATTTTGTAAAATTTTGGAGAACCTTAAACCTAACCCTAATCCTAACCCTAATCCTGCATTTTACTACATAACCATAGGGTTATAGTAAAGAGATAGAGGACAAAATGAAATTGTTTCTAATATATTCCTCCCCAAAAGTACTCCAATTCAAGGTGATAGAAAGCCTGCTACTTTTATGTGTGAATTTTGCTGTAGTTTAGAATAAATATTTCTGGAATTATATACTGTATTCTATTGTGGCTTAACTATATTATTTGTTATTCAACTCATTTCTATTCTACCAAATTGAATGCCTTGTGATGTTAGTTTAAAAGATAATTTTGAATTTAAATTTGTTTTAAACATTTTAATTCTTCATGCAGAAAGAGAAAAATCTGTGAATTGTACGCTAAAGTGCTAGGATCAGAAGAAGCTTTACATGTAAGGAAGAAAAACATCTCAAATCGGTGGAGTATTGATTGTTACAATATTATGGTCAGGCCATATGAATTTATAGGATGCATGCACATAATATATTTAATACAGCCTTTTGAAAAAAATCCTGAACTAGTAATGCAGCAATGTTTTTCTCAAGCAGCAGATACACAATAGAAGATGTGGGCCGATAGAGAAGTGTGGGAAGGATTTGAAGTTCATGATGCAGACAAAAAAAATTGAAGCACTGTTTTTTGGGGACAGCCAGAAAGAATAGCTTTTTATTATGAGGTTAACCATTTTGATAATTGAATAAGCCTATTTAGAACAAAAAGTCAGGGCTTAACCAAAGTAGTATGGTGCCTAGAATGTCAGGAGTTTGACAAAAAAATTGTGAGCTTTGGCTAGGCTGCTGAAAATGAGATGTAGCCTTTGGAGATAGCATTTAGGCTCGGAGAGCTATTACATAGCTCTGTCCCTAGACCTAACAGTATATAATCATGCAAACTATGTCAAGGGCTATAATTTTGGAAAATAGCTCTGTTCACTTCCTCCAATCCTACCGAATGTGTTATAAAGTCTTGTGCCAAACTTGGTTATATAAATTGCTCATTCCCCATTGCACAACATAGTCCCATGGTCAGGGGTGGGATTCTACCAGTTCAGACCAGTTGTATAGAACTAGTTGTTATGATTCTGCGCAGTTCTGAGAACCAGCAGATTGTGCCCCTGGCTGGCCTCGCCCCTCCCCTCCCTGCCCAGTCTGTCCTTATTGTGCATGCCCAACATCACTGATTGCATTCTCCTCCACCCAGTCACTCCTTAAGGTATTTCTTTTTTTCCCCTCCTGATGATCAGCTGTATGCCGCCCCAAGGCTCAATTTTTTGCCTTCCTGGGAGCAAAAACATCCCCCAGGAGGCTTCCCTGAGGCCCAGGAGGCCCAAAAATGAAGCATGGAGGGGTTCTGCACCCTCCAGGCTTTTTTTTTTTTTTTTTTTTTCTTTCCTGGGCCCTAGGGAAGCCTTCTGGGAGCAAACATGCCCTCCACAGGAGGCTTCCCGGGGGTGCTGCAAAAAATGGGGGAGGGGGTTGCTGCAAAAAAAAGCCATGCCTACTCAGTCACATGGCCATGCCCACCTAGCCATGCCCACAAAACTGGTTGTTAAAAAATTTGAATCCCACCCCTGGCTGAGGTGTTTAGGAGGTATTTTCTTTGTTACTGGGCTTCAGCAATACATTTTGTAATGTAATGCCTTATGTTTTCCACCATTATACACCTCCATCTCATTTCCTGGAAGTTTGATTTGCTAAGTTGTCAACTTCATTAGTTGACTGCATCTCACATGAGGCACTGCCTAGAGACTAGTAGTCTGAGTCAAAAATGCTCTGATACAGTTTGGGTTAAAACTGCTTCTTGATTGTCCCTGATATTGTCTGGATTCATAGTTCTATGCAAAAAATGATTGTTACTTTGGGTGAATCATCATATTCTATGATGAACAAATCAACTATAGTTTGCCTACTTATCCAAAGAAAACTAAATCCTACAGCAGCATTCCTGGATTTTAAAATACTTAATTTTTTTAAGAATATGAGACATTATATTGTTGAATAAATGTAATATTCATGCCATTTTCAAAGCTATGAATTGTACCAAAATTATATTCTGTCCATAGTAGGGTCCTCACTGTTCCATAAATCTCTGCCTGCTCTCTTTGAGATTCTGTATTTTGCAGTAGAAAAATAACGTTTTTTTTTCTAAAATCCTAAAGCCATTTGTTGGCGTAAAGCAGCTCAGAGCTGAACAAGTACAAGGATATTAGAATTAAACAGTCTGGTGAAATTATATTGGCAGTCTTAGGACAAATATCAAATCTTGCAAATTGCAAGAATTTACAGTTTACAATCATTTACAGTGATTTCATTATGATGGAATCTCTTTGAGTAATTTGAAATAGTTCTTTCCCAATATGATTATATTGGTATTTACAAGATCAGCTGTCAATAAATGTGTCTTCTTGTTCATGTCTCCTTTCTCTTTTGTAACTTACCCCTCCCCCCTCCACAATTCCTCACATTTATGGGAACTCACTAGAATTATCTACTCTTTTTGAACTCAGTGAACAAGACTAGCTTACTTTTAAAATAAATACAGTTTCAGATTACAACAGATGAAATTGTAGGTTGATGATCTGTTTTCAAAATCAAAATACCTTAATGAGTAAAATAACTCTTGCTGGAATTTATTGAATATAACTTCTGATTACTCATCATGGGACTATAATATGTGAAAAGAGTGTGAGTTCTGAAAATTACAGATTCTTTTCTTTAAAAGTCAAAACAATAAACATTATGTTCCAATTCTTGAGGGGAGAAGGCCAAATAAACCTTTTGTTTATTCAGTAGCCAGGAAACATGACAGCTAACTGAGCCAAATTGTTCAGATAGATTCTATCAGCAAGCAGCCTATGAAGTTTAACCTAGTACTTTGATATGAATCTGCTTCTATGTAATCAATATTTAGTAATCCCAATTTTAATCCTGCCAACATTGTTTTGAAAGTTTATTTTATTTCTCATCTTGCTTTATTCTTACAGCCAGTGCATTATGAAGAAAAGAACTGGTGTACAGAACAATATTCTGGAGGCTGTTATGCAGCATATTTTCCACCAGGCATTATGTCCCAATATGGAAGGTAAAACAAAATAATAATGTTCTCTTTTCCTGGCATTGTTCCCCACAGTTTTTAGATATTTGACAAAGTACCAGAACAATGAGCTAATCTTATATTTGAAAGAAAGGTTTATGAAAATACTATATATTTAGCAATAATAAAGTTGCAGCTAGTGCCATCGAATAGAAGAATGAAATGCAAAATCAGGGCTTAACTACAGATTATTATTTTCAGATATGGTCTTGGAATTATGTGGAAGTTGTTCAGATGGTAATGTCTTACCATAGTGTATTATATTTGCTGTTCTGGAAAAATAAAGTGGGAAGGAAGGCAAAATAAACAGATGCTTTACTCCATGCATTCATTTTATTTTCACTAAATTGTGAAAAAGACAGCCTTTGAATGAAATAGATCTTGAAGTTTGAGGAAATATACTTGTCTTCTTAATTCAGGCCTGCCACCATCCCAGATGTAGCTGGGATTAAAAGTTTATTCATAACAGATTCAAGTTGTGGAATAAGTTGTGTAAGTAGCAATGATGGGTAGCAAAGATTTCCCTTCTACTCTTGAAACACTACCATATTGGATGTACAGTTTAGTTAAGCGAGTGAAAAGCACCTCAAAAAATGAAGCACACAAAAAGATGTTGCAAAATGTTTGCAAAAACAAAATTTTACAAAATTCATGGAAGATGTAAGATAGCGCTCGTACCTCTTTTTGTTCATATAAATATATTAGCTACAAGCAGAATTACTATCTCTCTGTTCTATTTGCATTAGCTACAAGCAGAATTATCTCTCTATTTATCTGTTGTTTTCTTTAAAGAGTAATACGTGAACCAGCTGGTAGAATCTACTTTGCTGGTACCGAGACAGCAACCCAATGGTGTGGCTATATGGAAGGAGCTGTGCAGGCTGGAGAGAGAGCTGCTAGAGAGGTAAACAGAACTACTATTAGCCACCTTAATTAAAGACCCAAATAAACTAGGTTTTGAAAGGTGATCTGGGAACTTGGCATTTTCAATATTGCTGCACCAAAGAAAAAGACACTTCAAATTAGAATGACCAAAGAACAATGAAACATATACCATGATACTGTGATACTTTTTTTGGATACACGACTAAAATTCCTAGGACAAAGCATTTTTCAGGTCTACCTTAATTTTTCAGTCAGTAAGCCTGAAATTTTCATTAGTAAGCCTGAATAAACGGAATAATATGAAGTGGGTATTTAATTTAAAGCTTTGCAATGTTCTATATCACTAATTTTCTACAAAAATATGTATAGCATTAATAAATGGAAGATAGTTCATGTATTTCATGAATAAGGCAAACTTGAAGTTATCACAGCAAAACTGCCAAGTCTGAGTGCTGACATTCTGAAAACTGAAACTGAAATGCTCTGGAATCAGTCACTTCTCATCAAAGGGGTATCAGATCTTTTACGCATAACCTTCTTGCATAAAAGAAAAGGAGTAGCCCTCAGTATTAACAAAACAGTATCAAATTGTACATTCCATAGACAAATGGTCTCTTGGTAGGTTATTTTAATCTTTTCCATTCCAACTGCATGATGTGTATGATATAAAAAGGATTACTGGAATATAATTTTTTTCTTCCAGATATTGTACAGCATGGGAAAAATTTCAAAGAATGAAATTTGGGTAACAGAACCAGAATCAAAGGCAAGTGTCCTCATATTTGATCTCCTAAGAACTCTGGATACTTGTCTATATATATTGCCTGTGTACTGGACTGTATCACTCTCCTGTTTTAAGCCTAGTGGAAGATGAAATTGACAAATAAAAATTTACTATGGACTTAAGAACAAAATGATTAGCCCAGTTTGTTGAGAATATGTTTAACAAATGCATTTCTTATCAGCAGGTATATGCACAGTTGAAAAATATTTGATATTTCTTGTAGCATTTTACTTCTTCCACCATCTCACACATACATAGAAAATTATAATTCATATAGCTTGAAGTAACTCTAAGTGTTGCAACTTAGTGCACGTGCTTTATAATGGTAAAATGGAGAGTAGATATACCATAGAAACTGAATTGGTTTTTCATCCTAGATTTTAGATCCATTGCTGCTACTAATACGAAGCTTCCTCACATGTGCTTTTAATAGATGGAGACAGTTCTACTAAAGAAATTTATAAGTTAGTTTGTTTAAAATAACAAAATCTGTTTTCCCCTTCCTTCCTCTGACTATATTTGTACACATGAATATCTAAGTTCAAGGCAGGACTACTTTGTCTTTTTCCTGCACTGCTTTTCATAGTGCCCATCTGTACCTGTATTCCCACTATATATATTTCACTATATATATTCTTGCTTGTAAGTTTTTTTATGTTCTCCCTGGTCATGCTCCTTTTTGTCTCTTTCATTGTCTTTGTTTTAAAATTGAAGAAACAAAATAAAAACTAAAAAGTGTTCGAACAAGAAAAGGGGAGGGGGAATGGAAACTGAAATCACATAAATGCGATATATTTTATGTGTTAACCAAATTTATAAAGCTGTTCAGCTCATCAAAAGCTACAGTTGGTAGCATATAACAATCAGATAAAAATCACAGATATTAAGACAACAGAAACAAAAAATAATATTATCTACAATAGGAAATAATTAGTATTAAAAAACCAAATGTATAAACTCCTTGGTAAAGATAGAATAAAAACGGCCACCTCAGCAATGGAGCTATATAAGCGTAGTTCTGGTTCCCTGGGAGTTCCAGGCCTCATAACCAGATCTTGAGAGCCTTCTGAGATGTCAAAAGGGATGGAACTATTCTAATTTTGGGAGGACTTGTGTTTCATAAGGTGGGTGTCATGGCAGAGAAAGCACATCTCCTGTGGATCCCTGGCTGATTGTATTGGGCAGTTGAAATAACTGGGGAAAGATAGTCCCTCAGAAAGCATGCCCCTCTGCCATGAAGGGCTTTAAAGTTTAAAACCAGCACCTTGAATTGGACCCAGAAGCAAACTGGCAATCAATGCAGTGTGTGGAGCAGAGATGTAGCACACATTGTTCTAGGAACAAACATAACTTGCTGTGTCATTGCACTCTGCACTAGCTAAAGCTTTCATATACTCTTCAAGGGCAGCCCATGTAGATTGTGAAGCTATAGTTCAACGAAAAATATAAGCATTTTAATCATCCATATGAAGTATTACTTTACAGAATACTTTACAGTATTACATTTGTACATACCAAGGTGATTATTAGGTCAATATTCCTGATGCTTGGAATAATAATGGTAACTAAGTGAATGTGTGATTAAGAAAGAGACACACAGAAAGAGAGAGACATTGTGAAGACCATCTAATTTAAATAAAGTTCTCTTATTCTCTTTCAACTCTGCCAGTATGACTCTCACTTTGGTGTGTGTTGTGAGGCACACAAAATTTGGTTGTAAGTGCACACATTGTTTGGAAAATGATTTTATTATTGCCATGTATTATCATATTTGCAAACAGTTGCTAAATGAGGTAGCCAATAGACGAGCTGTGGCTGCAATAAACCCAATTAATAGAAAATGTATATATTTATATTTATCTGTAGGATTCTAAAGCTCAATGGTTTTTTTGGGTTTTTTTATGATGGTCCAAGCTATTTGCCATACTTATAAATATGATTCAGTGAAATGTTCATTTTAATTTTATCAGTGTTTTGCATTAATAAAGCAATAGGAATTGAGAACCAACTATTTTAGGGAGCATCAGTTCAGAAATGGACAATAGATGCTCAACTGCATTTATGCACTTTCTGAAAAAAGAATATCTAAGTATGTGTTTTCATAAATTAAATACCACTGAATAGAGGTAGTGTAGCTTCCTGATAAAACTGCACTATGCTGCAGCTTCAGGCTACTCAGATGGCCATGCTCTAACAATTACTGTGATATGTTTCATCCTAGGAGGTTCCAGCACTTCCAATTACCACTACATTTTGGGAGAGAAATTTGCCATCTGTTCATGGGCTGCTATTCTTTCTTGGATGGTCTACTTTCATCACCTCATTGGCTACAACGGGATTCTTTGCCTACAAGAAGGGGCTTCTTTCCCGATAATGTATCTGACCCAAAATTTTCCATTTATTTCCTTCATGCTATGAATGTTGTTGCTGAAAAAAGAAAGCCATCTTTCATGCCATTTGGAACAATTGGGTTAACACATCCCAGCCAATTTAATTCATCTTCCTTTAAAACACAAAGGGAGGCCTCTTTTCATTCCCCAGTGACTTCCTGCTTAAAAGTTGGTGACTCCTCATCATATCTTTCTGTGTAATATATACTGTAATGAGAAGAAAGCAGGCTTGTCATAGTCATTGGAAAACTTCCACTTGTCTTTATGTTTTCAAAATTTTATGAACAAAGTGATTGCTGAGCTTTACTCCAACTCCTTCCCAGTCTCTACCCTCTGGTTGTGTTGAACTGCATTCTGTGCTTTTGGACTTTAAGGGAGAAATGCAGCCAGCACATCCTTCAGGCACTAGAGGTAAGGGTGGGGAATGTGTAGGTACTCTGTAGCTTATTAAACTATCTTCATATTCTGTGATGGGTCTGCTAAATTTCATGCGATGCTGTTTAAAAATGTAAATGCTGCAAAAAGAACTTTGCTTGCTTCATGCTAGGATTACATTCCCTCAAACTCTTGTATAAAACCTTGTATACATAATATGAAAAAGGCAGTTGTGGGCAGTTAAATTCTGCAATCCAAATACATTGACAAATATTATCATACATTTCTATAACCTCCTTCTTTGGCAGTAAATAACTCAAATATGTTTTCTCTATCTTGTCTGTACCTGGATTTCTAATGTCTGTGAGTATTACGACAGATGAAGATACTGAATGCATCATGGCACTATGAATATTATCAGGATTCTTCCTTACGTTGCATCCAATAGAGCAGGGGTGTCAAATTCAAGACCTGTGGGCCTTTCACTGTGACCGCCATGCCCCTGTGTGGGAAAGCCATGCTGCCAATCTCTCCCCCTCCCCTCATCCCTTCCTAAGTGCAGAGGAAGGAAGATGGGAAGGAAACGGAATGGACCTTTAGGCCATGGGGCTTCTGCCTGCCAGGTGCGAAGGGTGATAGGTGATCACCGGGATTGTGGGGGGATGCAGCACGCAAGTGGCAGGTGGCATGCGGTTTCTGGCATTGCAGGGGGGGAGGGCAGAAGCAGAACTGCCCTCTTGGCATCAGGTGTGGAGTCAGTCCAGGTGTGGAGACAATGGAAGGGAGGGCGGACAAAAAGGGAAGCTGCTGCTCCGCAGCTTTTGTTTTTAAGGACAGAGGCATCCCATTTTGATCCCTCCCCCATCGTTGCCTCTGCGTGGCTCACTAGTCACTTCTCCTAGATACCCCATGCATGTGTTTGTGTATGTGGGGTCTGGGAGAAGTGAGGCAGAGGCCTGTCAGTCACAGAGGGAATGATGGGAGAGGGGTCAACATGGGAAGCCTCTGGCAGCTCTATCATTCCCTCTGCAACTGACCAGCCTCTGCCTCTCTTTCCCAGACCCATGGTGTGTGTGTGTGAGTGAGTGAGTGTGCGCCCTGCACCCTGAACAGAGACTTTTTGCAATGGCAGGCTGCAAACTAATGAAAGCTGTCTTTTGGGAGTGCTCACTTCTTTTTCTCACCTATTATTTTTCTCACGTTTTCTCACCTTCAATGGTGTGTGCGCAACATACTGTGGACTGCATATCCCCTCCCCCAATCTGCTGCCCATTGCATTGCACCCTGCCCCCACCCAGTTCTTGCCCCCAGCCACATGGAAGGCTGCAAGAAGCTCCTATCCCGCTTTCTCTTCTCCCATTCTTTTCTTCCCCAATATTACTGTGCGGGGCTGCAAGGGGGGGAGGTTACCATGCACATGTGCATGCATCTCACACACACACGCATGTGCACAGGGGGGCTGACAGGCCTCTGTGTGGCTCTCAGTTCAACTCTCCCAGACACCCCCATCTGTCAGGCGCAGAGGCAACAGCAGGGAGGAGGGGTCAAAAGAGCAGCAGCAGCCTCAAGGAGGAGGTAAGTTCAGCCTGGTGGCCTGTTGGGGAAGGCTAGGCAAGGCTGGGCATTTATCTTCTGCCCAAGGCTCCGGGCAGCCTGCACTGCCACCCAGGGGTCCTCCCCTTGGCCTGAGGGGGATGATAAGGCTGCTCTGGTAGACAAGAGTTTGCACTCGCCCTGGTCTCACCTTCCCCTGCTGGAGAAAATGGATCCCCCCACAGGTGCCCCCAGCCATGAGTAATGTCAAGCTGGCCACACCACGGCCATGGTCACTCAGCCCCCCATGGTCAACCACAAGCCTGATGTGGCCCTCAATGAAATTAAGTTTGACACCCTTGCAATAGAGCAACCCAGGTTAAAGGTTTGCCCTAATGCCAAGGACCCATCATGGCATGAGATAACAGTTAATCAGAGTTGGAAGGGACCTTGTAGGTCATCTAGTCCAACCCCCTGCCCAAGCAGGAGACGCTACACCATTTCTGACAGATTGGAGTCCAATCTCTTCTTGACAGTCTCAAGTGACGGCACTTTCACAATTTCTGAGGGCAAGCTGTTCCATTGGTTGATCGTTCTCACTGTCAGAAAGTTTCTCCTTATTTCCAGGTTAAATCTTTCCTTGTTCAGTTTCCATCCATTATTCCTTGTCTGGACTTCGGGTGCTTTAGAAAATAGCTTGTCCCCTTCCTCTCTGTGGCAGCCCCTCAAGTATTGGAAGACTGTTATCATGTCTCCCCTGGTCCTTCTCTTCACCAGACTAGCCAAGCCCAATTCCTGTAACTGTTCTTTGTCTCGTCTCCTAATCATACTGGTTGCTCTTCTCTGCACTTTTTCTAGAGTCTCAACACCTTTTTTATAGTGTGGTGACCAAAACTGGATGCAGTACTCTAGGTGTGGCCTTACTAAGGCTTTATAGAGTGGTATTAGTACCTCACGTGATCTTGATTGTATCCCTTTGTTAATGCAATTTAGGATTGCATTAGCTTTTTTGGCTGCTGCTGCACACTGCTGGCTCACATTTAGCTGGTTGTCCAATAAGACTCCAAGATCCCTCTCACAGTTACTGCTATTAAGCCTGGTTTCATCCAGTCTATATGTGTACTTTTGGTTTTTCTTGCCTAAGTGTAGCACTTTACACTGAATTTCATTTTGTTAAATATGGCCTAGTCTGTCTAGTCTGTGTTCTAGTCTGTGAAGATCCATCTGGATCTTGAGCCTATCTTCTAGGATGTTAGCTATTCCTGCCAGCTTAGTATCATCTGCAAATTTGGTAAGTTCCCCTTCTTTCCCTCATCTATGTTGTTAATGAAGATATTGAAGAGTACTGGGCCTAAAATGGAACCTTGTGGCACCCCACTGCTTACTTCCCTCCATGTAGACTTAGACCCAAATAGTTGAGTATGGTTTGTCAGCCAGTTGTGAATCCATCTGATAGTGGTACTATCTATCCCACTTTTTTCTAGCTTACCATAAAGTAGGTTGTGGTCTACTTTGTCGAATTCCTTGCTGAAATCTAAGTATATTATGTCCACAATAATAGGTCCAATTTTGTTTCCAGAATTATTTTCCCTTTTATTTTCTGTAAGTGGTTTCGACCAGTTGTTGGCACCCATTTCATGCATGGCAGTAATAGTAGCTATTACAAGTACAGAAATAAGTGGGAGAAAGGATGCACAAACAAAACATGATATAATATGTCCAACTTTGTTTCCAGAATTACTTCCCCTTTTTTGTGTATAAAGGGTTTAGATTGTTACCATGTGTGAAATGGGGTTGATGCCCATTTCATCAACAGCAACACCTATCGCTATTACAACTATGGAAGTAAGTGGGAGAAATAATACAAAAATAGAACAATGTGTAAATGCAAGAATGGGGGCAGAAAAGAGTTTTGCCAAGAAAATATCCAGTTTTGGCAGGGAGACAAGTCAGCATGTTTCCAGACCTTTGGCACAAATGAACAATGCTGGCACAAATCACATGAAAGTGATTTATTTATTTGTTTCTTTGTTTATTTACATAGAGTGAATTCCTGGATGACAATGATCACTTTCATACTACCAGCTATCTATTCTTTATCATTAAAGACATATAAAAATAGGGAAAAAATAACAAAAGTGAAAAAGTAAACACTAATTGATTTTAATCAGAGAGTTGGAAAAATAAAAATAAACATTGGGTGCAGTAGAATAAAAGACATTTAGAAGAATGCAAGTAATGACCACTGGCCATTCATGGGATTGAAGACAAATTTCTAGTCTCTCAAGAATACAAGTTTTCACTTTCATATTTCTAGCAACCTCATTTTCCCAGTTGAAGATCTTATATTTATATTCATTTGATAAATGCATGTCCAGCGTTATGTTTTGGATACACACACACCATGTATCTTATTTTTTCTGTTTGCGTGATTGGTTTGGTTTGGTTTGACATGAAATGTGTGATTCCATCTACTATGGTTTGTAAACTATATCTTATGACTTTTTGTAATATATATTTTTTACTCTATTCTGGTTGATTCAATAAGCCACGAAAAAAGCAATTATTTCTATAGGGCAATACGTGTGAATTTAGTCATTTCTTCACAAGTGTGAAAGAAGATATTTGCAGCAGGAAATCTAATGGCAGATCTCTACACACACATGTATATTCCACTTTCAAATAGCTATATTCACATTCAACTCTTTTGGCAAGACAATCAGTGAGACAAGTGGCCAAAAATTTTCTTGTATCATTCATCATAGCCAAATAAATATACAAAAGCAAAGCACAAGAAAGTGATAATGTTTATTCTTTTGAGTGTGAGTTAAAAAACATCACGCTGCCAGATAAAAATATATATAAACACATATTTAATAGGAAAATGAACACTATGGATTTCATGAACACAATCACCACAGAGGCACTTTTAGAAGAACAGCACAATTATATAAGGCACAATCACAAAATCCATATCTTGCAATATCACTTTAATTTTACAAAAGGCAAACATGACATTAATCAAGATAGCAACTGTCTCAACAACTGTTTAGGACACAAGGTGTTTCATTAAAAAAAATTAAACTCCTATTTTGAATATTTTTTTAAATTTCCTCTGGAATGGCAACATTACAGAAGAAAATTTTAGAGAAGAGACGCTGGAAGGAACATTACATTTAGTCAATTGTAAAATTTACTTAATGGGAAATTGTAACTTTTAATTGCACTGTTTAAAATTGCAAAGGCAACTGCTTTGTCTTCTGTGAATTAGCTTTTGCAGTACAGTTTAAATACCTGAAGATTTCTCTTTCTTAGAATAAATATTTACTTTTATCATTTAAAAAATGGGTCTTCAGTTTTAGAAACCTGCTTCTTCATACGCTATGGATACAAGTGAAAGGTTTTACCCAATTTTTTCTTACAGTGTGGGCTGTGAGCACTTTCTTTGAATAGAGAAAAAGAGACTTGGCAGAAATTAAATATGCTAATTTCTTGGTGCGTATTTTGACCCATACATATCCAAATTAGGATACCAGTATATAGTAAAAGTGGCTTTTAAAATTATCATTTGTATGTGACTTATAGTCAATGTATGCATTTATATGTGAAGCACATGATT